GTTGTAATCAACATACGATGAATCCAAATGGAAAAACGTTTAAGAAGCAATACCTTTTATGCAAACTGAACTCACGACCATCAACAAACATAAGCCTGGAAGCTCTATCACCAAAACAAAACGATGAAACCTAATCAACTATCCTCTCTTGCAAGCTACCTGCGACACAACGAAAATCCAAGAAAAAAAAATCAGAACCGTAAGAAACAAAACACAATGCATGAAACAAAAACTAAACCTTAAACTATGACGTACACGTCAATTATCAATAAATAAACCTAAGCAGTTGTTTAGATGAATGAGATATATGCGAGTATATATAGCTATTAAAATTTTAGGGTTTTCGTTTTATAATATAGTTTTGAGAGGCAGCCGACTTTTTTAAATGGTCTATTGGATATCAATTTTAAAAAGCTCAACTGATACATCATATGATAACCGGTATAAAGTTTAAATTACTATAATCGATTTCCAAATAAGAACCAAACCAAACTAATCGATTTAAAATCGGAATATTTCTACTAAGTGCAGAAGGCACTAACTCCTCTAAGAAGAGCTGTAGTGCGTTTCTGACTTCGCAAATAATAATATAAAAACTTAGCAAATAATAATATAAATTAAATAGTGTATATTTATCTTATGTTGACTTTAAAATTTTTAATTATAAAAAATTACTATTTTTATCTATTTATTTTCCAAATTTTAATTATATCCATCGTTTTATTAAGTTATCAACTAGAAAACCATACGAAGATATAACCAGTTATCTGTTCAAATTTTCCAGTTTATATCATTTTAAACCTTAATTTACGGTCAACGATTTACCCATTAGAAATTGTCTTCCATTTATATATTTGAAGCAATATGAACTTGCATATACAAAATTTAATATTATAATCTATCAGGGGGTTATACCAAATTGAATCCCATAATTGGGGAACACGACTTTGAATTTTTGAATTATTCAAATCATAAAGGAATTTACAGAAGTAAATCAAGGCTATCATAAACGCTGTCACTTCACCACACGTAACTTTACCAGATGGATTTTTAAGTTTGAAACCTCCCCCTTTTTCTTTTGAGACCTACTTCCTCCTTGCTTGAACCTTTGATAACTTACCATATCATTTTTTGGTTTGGTATGTGTGATAACTCAAATTCGACTTATAAAAGAACAAGAGTTTGTGAGTTTAAAGAGATTTTTTTATAAAGAATAGCCGGAGTTCGAAGGTACACAAAGATTTTAGGTCGTCGGAGTAAAGTCGTCCGACCTAAAATAGTAATAAAGTAGACTCGAGAACTTAGAACAATAGATTGTTAGTTTGCCTTAGGTCTCGAGAGAGGATTTTCGGATGTTTATTAAGAAACAGCTGAACCTTGAAAAAGGCTGCCTACATACCCTTTTGAAGGGATCAAGCCAATCGTAGTTTGTTATAAGAGAGTTAGATATATGAAATCTAGAGAGAATAAGATCTTCTCCAAGTGTGGAGATTCTTGGATGATTGGAAGATATTCTGAGAAGTGAATGACTTCTTTATTTATAGCCCGACGAAGTCGGTCTTCTGGAGATAACTTCTCATGTTGAAATAGGAAAGCTTCCTTCTTGATAAGGCCGACCTTCCATTTATTCGGAACTTATCAGATAAATAGCGGATTTCCATTAATCTTGTTTGAAGTGGGCATATCTCAATTGATGTAGGGCTTTTGGAGGGGGTGCGAAATCTATCTCTAACAGTATGCTTTAGTTTTCTGGTTATATATTTAAAACGAATATATCTTTGTTTTAATGGATTTGAAATGACATATTGACTATGTGTTTAGTAACTTGGTCAAGTTTTGATAAAAAAATTTAATTATATATATGAACAGAGGTGAGTCCTCTCCCACAGCTTGACACATCATTATATTAGATAGACTAGAAGAATGTCTGCTCGTTGCGCAGATTTATGATATATTAAATATTTTAATTTTAAAATCTATTTTATTATATTTGTTAGTAAAAATTTGTTGGTAAATATTATTTTATAAGTTGTAAATACAATTTAAATTTTGTATTAAAAGGTTGGTGAAATAATAGTATGAGATTTGACTATGTTAGGGAAGTGAAGCTGACATCAAAGATGACCGAAAAGAAGGTTTTCGAGAATAGAATCCATATTATGATAGTGGTGGTGGTTTGAGATTTTATGCAGTAGAAAGTAAAGAATTGAGCTATTAATGTAAAAAGATTTCATGAAAGCAAATAATATGGTATTTTTTTTGTTTGTTTGACCACAAAGAAAACATGAAAAATGAGTCTATTTATTAGACAGAAAGGATGACACAATCATCTCTTAATTTTTAGTATGAAATTCAAATTAAAATTTGATTCAAAAGCTTAATATATATTTTGTAAGTATACATTATTTAAGAAAAATTTTATAAGTATGAAATTCAAATAAAAATACCACTGACTATCAAAACTACTAAAAAAGCCATCATTAAAAAAAACTACATTAGTTAGATATGTTCTATGTATCATTATTATATTTGAAAAATATGAAAAGTTTATTTATTTATATATTAAAATGGTAAACCTGAATTATTTTATTTATTCTGCAGCAAATAATCAGATTCATATTGAACAAATTGCAAAAGTCTATTTATTTGTATATTAGGATCGGAAAACTAAATTATTTTATTTATTCTGCAGATAATAATCAAATCCATATTGAATAAATTACAGTTAAAATAAAAAATATTTGAGATTTAAAATAATCAGAAAAAAAAATATTTCCTGCCAAATTTTAAGATAGGAAACAAATTTCTCTATACCAATTTAGCAAAGCAAAAAAAAGAGAAAATTTGACAATTGTGTTTCTGGAAGTATAGCGAGCAATTTCGTCGGGTCTGTAAAGCTCTAATGATAAGTGTATAAAACTATATTTGACAACTATGTTTGATCGGTATCTATAAGATGATAGGTCTCCCTAAAAACAATATATATTGTTATAAATTAATTGATAATATATATTAAATTCTAATATAGTTTTATACAGAATAAATGTAATAAGAAATAAATTACTATATTTACGAAATAATACATTAGTTATTAAAAAATTAAAAATATAAAATTTACACAGAATACTTTATTGTTTATAATAAAACATATTTTAAAAGAACTCGCGTGTACGCACATGTCTAAATTTAGTATATTTAAAACATCATTAATCCAATAACACCTCCTAAAGCACGGCTCTGTGTATAAAATTATGTTTCATTACAAGTTTACAACTAACTTAGTCATTTTTTATAAAGTACTGTTATTTGAATAAATAGAAGCTGGTTTGGGTCTTTCTATGTGCAAGAATTGCATTTGCACAAGTTTCATGACCAGAATTATTTATTATTTATACAAATATAAGGCCCAAATTTATTTATTTACAGATTTAATAATGGGAAAATTAGAAATAAATGATGTTTTTACTATGAGTTTGTCCATCTACACCTTTATTTTTGTTGTCACAATTGTGTCTAAATTACCCTTACAAAAATATTTTTCAATAACTAATTTCATTTTAAAAATTGTTTTTAATATCGATTTAAATACTAAAAAGGAAAAAAAAAATATTTAAAGAAACAAAAAAATTATATTATTCCAAAATCGTAACAAGAAAATATTTACAAAGTCTTTTCTGATATGTTCTGCGAGCTTCACAATGTTTGTTCTGCGAATTCTCTATGATCTGCAAGATTTAGAATGTCTCTTCTGCAGTTTCTAAATGTTCTGCGATTTTGAATAATATATGTTCTGCATAATATACATGTTCTGCATAATATACATGTTCTGCGAAGTTTAGAACATATATTCTACCTATTTTGGATAATAATTGAAACATGCATTTGGGCAATTCATCTTTCATACCTACAAAACGTAAAACATGAAAACATTGTAAAAAGACAGATTTTTAAACTAATTATCTCAACCTAAAACTTCTTCAAAATCAATACCCAGCTAATTAGTGAAACAAAATTAATGTTTCGTATTTTTCTATTACATTGAGCTGCAAACAACAAATCTGACAACTGCTTATTTCAAAAATTTCTGGAAAGCTAAGTAAAAGATGAGAAAAAAAAGACAGAACAGATTAAAGGATTTTACTACAATAACTCTCTAATTTTCTAGTTCATGTTATGAACCATCACAATAAGAGACTTAATCAGCAATAATAACATCATGATATCTTATTGATATTTTTGTGTGGACAAAATTTGGTGAGAAAACAGCGAAGATCGATTACCTTCTTTGGCGTTGACGGAAAAATTGGTTTAAGAAGAAGAATTGTTGAGTAAAAAGAGAGCAAATTTTTTGAAGAATAAAAAGATTGTTTTGATGAAGAACAAAATTGATTTTGTTAAGTAAAAAAGTCAATTATTGCAGAGAGAACAGTCGGTGATGAAGTAGAGATCGGGAAAATCAGTTAAAGAAGCAGAAATAACAATAAAGAAATAAAGAAAGTTTTTCTGTTTTTATGTTTTTTGGTATTTCAATGACTTATTTCTATTATTAATAACTATATAAAATTTAATAATTAGAGGACATAATCGGTTTTAAATTAATCGGTTTCAAACAATTGGTTAAGAAGGTATAAATGGACAAACTGATAGTAAAAACATCATTTATTTCTAATTTTCCCTTTAATAATTTGGTCCAAAATTATTGAGATTTTAATACCAAAAAACAAATTTACCTATCACTACCTTATCTTCTTTCATTTTCCCATAAATGCATATCATAAATCATAAACCACTTCAATATCTTTACCATAACCAGATAAATCAAATATTTAGTGGATAAAAGCTTTTATTTTTCTCCCAATTATTATGATCTAGGCCTTAAAGATTTCCAATTAGTCGTCATAAATTAGTAGATTTCTCGATTTTATTATGTTTATGAGTTTTACCATCTTCCTTTTCCTTTTCCAAAAGTTTCTTGAAAAAAGTTTCAAATATTCGAGGAAACGCTCATAAAATAGACTGGTAATATAATTAGTGAAACCAAGTTCTAAAGTTTTATAATTCGAACTTACTTAGCGATAGGTTACACAACTGCTGCGTACCGAAAACAGCGAATCAGATACTAGAGTGTTTCGGTCTTATGTTCCAAAACAAAACAAACAAAAAAACCTTTTTGTCTCTCGATCCAAGAAAAAGAAAAAGGCCTTTACAAAGGCTCACGACCAATCTAGTTCATGACAGATTCCACGGCAGTCGCAGAAACTACTGTGTCAGAGTCAACTTTTTGGCCCTTTTCCTCGGTGGTTCAGCTTCTTCAGTCACTATCGGAGTTTCTTCTTCAGGCTCTGTCTCCGCTTTCTCTTCCTTTTCATCTACACTTGCGCCTTCCGCTTTTTCCATGTTCTGCAGCTTCGCAATCACCTCCATTACTCCTGTATTGACCTGTTTACACACGTTTACGTTTAGAATACAGTGACAAATTCACAAGACAGACTATTCCTCAGAATGTTTGGTATGATCATTTTGGTAAATAGCGTATGACAGTTACGTTTAGAATACAATGACGATTCCTAACTTTGGTAAAAATGCGTAGCACCAGATCACCATCAATGAACTAAAGCATTAAATGAAATACAATCCACTCAAATTTCTGTATAAGCCTTTCCTACACAACTATTCCAGATATTTGGTCTGAAAATTTTGCTACCACAACTATTCCGAATATCTTAATTAAGAGAACCTCTATAGATGTTATGCAAGTATTTGATATTAACATATGATTTATCACTGAACCAACTTCATCCATTTCTAGCAGAGCCCATCAAATCCATGCTAATGCAACAGCATATATGTGGGAGAAAAATATATTAACTGAAAGTGAAAAAGATGATGATTTTCACCTGTGGGTTCTGGAGAAACTCAGCAATGTCTGTGGGGCAACAAGGGCAGTTAATGATGTTCTTCCGTGCACGAAGTGTCCGTCCACCTCTGCTTCTTTCCCTCACAAGTGTCTTCCCAGCGAATCCCTTTTCTAAGCATCCTTTGCAAAAGCTATGACCACAAGGCGTTGTGACAGGAAGAGTCATCACGTCCTTACAGATTAGGCACTTAAACTCTGCATCAACACAACAACGATTATATCCAACAACAGTTTGATAAACCAGTGAAGAAGTGATATAACGCATGGACTGCACAACACAAACCACAACAGAAATTGATAACAGCAGAAGCAGAGAGTTGGACTTCAAACCGTTGAGAAGTTTTTTGCTGGTAGAATTCGAGTGTGCCGCTTTAATGGCTTTCCTCAGACTCTTCGTCTCTTTAGCATCCAAAGCATGAACTGGCTTTTGACTAGGAGGTGGAGGCCTTGTCCATACCCAACGACCCTCACCTTCCTGATCAAGTAAACATATCAGAAGCAGGTGCAGAGTAGAGATTACAGAAGAAAAGACTTCATATATGATTCTTATATAAGTTAAGAGAAATTAAGAAAAGCTGAACTTACATTGAAATCCCATGATGGACTCTCGTTTCTTTCAAACAGGTCTGTTGCCATCTTAAGCTCTGGAACGTTTGGCAATGGTCTTGGCCGATCTCCATGCTCATCACTGCAGCATATGATAGTGTTAGACTCAAATGGAAAAATATAGAAAAAGGCGTTTTCAAGAAAATAAGGTCAAACCTTGTCCATGGTGCTGGCTCATTGTCACACCTAACAAAGAGGTATCGACAGACCTTAAAAGAACCCTATGGAAAAGAAAAAAAAGAATAGGTCAGCAAAAGAATCCAGCTCTACACAAATAAAAAAAGAGCATGCTTGCTCTATGAGTACCTGCACTCCAACTTTTCGCCAGCACTTCTCGATCCTGTAAACCCCATCATATCTCAATCCTACCTCAGGGGCATATGCAGAACGTTTCTCCTTGTGAGACCTGGTTATACATGGAAAGGAATTAAAGAGTTAGAACTGGGATTTTTCAATGAAGATGCAGAAAAGGTAACCGAAATTATGAGCTGTATCTTGGGAATAGCATGTTAACTCAAGATAATTGAACCTTAGCTTAACTCTCTAGGACAAACAATCTACTCTTATTAACTCCAGAAAGCAATTTCAGTGCAAAGAAAAGCATTACATATATACAATTTTCTGGTTCAATTTTTTAAGTATAGGAAACCGAGAATGTAAGTAAGATGTTGAGCACAATGGACATTTGCTCAAATAACAGCTAACCTGACAACACGAACGGGATAACCCATTTCGCAACTTAGTTTTAGAGCTTCATTTGAGTGCTCAAACACCTGGTCAAACGACTGAGCCTTGTTAGTCCGTTTGTTTCCGCTAAGGTCTCTTCCTCCACTGTGTTACACAAATTCAAGACAAAAAAAAAGAGAGGAAGTCAATCACAAAGTTGAAACATTGTGAGAGAAGTAACATCTACAAGATTATAAGAAACAGTAGACACAAGGAGCAATGAGAAAAAGAAAAGCAAACCTTCCAGTGTAGAGAAACCATTCTCCATGATCCTCATCATCTACATAGCCGCCAGAGAGTGCTACAGACTGAGCTCCATATTTCGACTGTCCAGCAATACCAGCAATGTGTGGGAAGTGAGCTCCCCACTGCCTACAGTCCATCCTATCCTCCCAGGATTCACCGACCAAAACTCCTTGATTTCGGACAGGATCATTCTCAGCTGGTATCGGACCAAAATGGTCGGATGGAATCGTCACGTAGATCCTGCCGCTTGCAGCATTTGCCTTGCCGGTCTTCTTAGCACGATCGGTTGTATATGCTTTCTCCGGTCGGTCTTGGTTAGCAATGGCATGATAAACGTTTGCAGTAGCCACAGATGCAGCACTCTTGGAAACTTTGGCCAAACGAATAGCAGAGACAAGGGAAGCGTTGATCCGAGGATTGCTTGCCATTTTTGCAGGAATTGCACTGCGACATTTGGCACAAGTCCGGCGTCCTCTAGCTAGCCACTTCTCAAAACACTTTAAGCAAAAGTTGTGCCCACATGGTGTCTACAAAAAGAATACACATACAACAAGTATCCATCAGCGAGTAGTTTTCAACTTTGCAAAACATTGTTATTTCGAAAAGCAACAACCATATAAGTTTCACCCAAAAAAGCAATAACATTATGGTTTATCTTTGACAAGAACAACAACATACCATAAACAAGAATCAACAACGCAATGGCTGAATTTGCACAATTAAGTACGAGTGCTGATACAGTTTATTACGAATGATAAGCACTATTAAGTCTATATACGATTTAAGATAAATGCCTAAATTGAATTGGAGATTCAACAGATTCACCAAAACCCCCAACAGATTCATAAGAAGTAAGCAATCCATGAGAAAATTCGAGACCTAGATACAGAGTGACAACTTACAGTTACTGGCCTCTCAGGCAACTGCATACAGAAAGAGCATTCTAGGTTTTCTCCGAAGGCGGCCAACACATCAACATTGAGACCCGAGCTCTTTTTCTCGTCTTCGTCACCATCGGCCTTACCGCCAAGTAGCTCTTGCCTCTTCTTAGCCTTATCTGCGTCAGTCAGAGAGTCGTCGGCCTCGATCGCGCGGATCGAGGCTAAAAGTTCTGAGCCACCATCGGGTTCGCCGGAAACGGGGAGCGGATCGATTTCGCCGGTACAATCAGGACAATGCCACTGTAGAGTGGAGGCGAGGGATTCGGGAGGCGAAGAGAGGCAAGGAACGTGCCATGGAGTGCCGCATAAGCTGCAAGTCAGAGATTCCTCGGGGAGAGGAATCGACTTGCATAGCGAGCAGTTCCCGTTGCCGCCGTCGCATGGAAGCTGCGCCATTTCGATGAACAAGGACCGAAGATAAGATCGGAGAAAGGTATGGAGAGAGAGAGAGAGACTGTGTGTTTCCCAGATTCAAAAAACTATCTTGAAGAGAGAGATGGAGAGAGGAATGTTGTTATCGAGAATCTAGGGTTTAATATATGGTGAGGCGGAGGGAATTAAGGAGACGAAAAGTGTTGCGGCGGTTTCTAAAATATTTGAAATTCGAAACGACGCCAAAAATGAAAATTAAAACAAAACAAATATCTCTCTTGGTTCGATAAAATTGGGACGAATGGAATCGGAAACAAGATAAAACATGGAACCAAATCGTTTTGAAAATGATCTTCTTTTTTTGGGTTATTTTATATCTTAAAAAATATGTTTTATAAGGAGATTTTTTACCAAAAAAATTAAGAAGATTTAAGAAAACAAAAGTTGAATTGTTAAAAAAGTTTCTAAATGATTTTAACTGTTCTAATATTATACTTCCTCCGTTCTAGAATAATGATTATTTACTTTTCTAAAATACCTTTTGTTTGTTTATTAATTTAATACTGATTTTTTATATATTTTTATCTAAAAAATTGTCTTGGAAAAAGAAATACATTAAATATAACATAGAAAATCAATCTTTTTGGAACAAAATGAAAACTCAAAACATCATATAATATGGAACGGAGAAAGTAATATACTTGGTTATTACCCGTACAATTGTGCGGAGTAAGGTTTGTAATATAAATAAAAACAAATTGTTTTATCTTAATTTATACATGTATTTATATCAATTTTATATTGATAATTTTGACTATATATTGATTTTATACCATATATTTGTATCTATTGTATGCATGACATTTTCAAAATTAATATTTTTTTCACTTTAGAATTATATAAATACCTAAAATATAACTTTTATCCTTCTTTATTTTATTGGTTTAGGTTATAGTACAAGATTTTTAATATGTAAAATGTATTATTTATTGTATTAATACAGTAAAGAATTTTAAAAAATTATAATCAAAGCCCAAATAATAAATAATAGCAAATAAAAATTTAAATTTTTGTTTTATTTTCTGCCAAATCCAAAGCTAAATAAAAAATAACAGCATATAGAAAATTTAAAATGTCTAACTATCTATTTGCTTGACACAAACGTGTATGATTGAAAAAAGTGTAAGCTCAACATCAACTATGTTTCCATGACATTGACAACAAAGCAAAAAGTCTTATATTATAAGAAGCTCACACATCAGCAAAATTTTGAATCAATAAAAACATAACAATAATACATATCATCAACACAATAATAAAATCAGTCTACTATCTTGTTGACTCATTAAAAAAGCCCAAAGTTTACATATAATGGAGGTCGAAAGCAAATGAGGAGAAGTTCAGACCACTGCAGCTTGAAAATATGGTTTTATAAATTTTATTGAAAATGCAGGTTTTCGGATTTGACGATGAATATAATTTTGCAGGTTTGACAAAAACACGTAATTTTAGAAATTTGGCCATAGAATACGGTTTTTTGATGTTATGGAAAAACATAATTTTTAGTTTTGTTAAAAATGTAGGTTTGCAGTTTTGGCAGAAAAATACGGTTTGACGGAAAATGCTATTTTTACAGCTTCTATTGGAATTCCTGATTTTTTTACAACAACGTGATTTTAAGATTTTTCGGGAAAATGCAGCTTTTTATTTCGGTAGAAAACTCTGATTTTAAGGTTTTGACAAGAAAAAAAACAAAATATTATTGTTTAAATTAAAGGGTAATTTTTATGATTCAAATATTTCATCCAAACTCTAATTTTTTCAGCATCTTAGATATTCAAATTTTGAGATATTATAGATTTTATTTATAGATACAATATCCATATAATGATTTAAAATATTTAAACAAACAATATTTGAGCATTTACATATAAATAAGCATTTGGATGCAAAATAAACAAAGCCTAAGTAAATATTGAAATTTTAATTACAAAAAAAATAAAATCTCTCTTGCATTAAGAAACATAATATTTGAAATATTTATTACAAAACTTAACAGAAGATTCGCTAATCAAAATAATGTCTTCTATAAAATCAATCCTAAATAATTTTAAAAAGATAAAACCATAATGTAAATATAGTTTCTATAATCTAATAAAAAAATTCTGTTTAGACCACAATTTTGGATTTAATAATATAAGTTGTTTTGTTGGAACAAAATTTTAATATAAACTGATTTTTGTTGTAGCCCAAAAATATTTTATGAAAACAAACCAGCACAACTGCACAGATCCAAAATCTAGTATAATTACAAAGAAGAATCAAGTGTCAATTTAGTGGAGAAAATAAATTATATTTGTCATTAATATCAAGGTGCTTAAAAATATATTACTTTATTCATACATATACATTTATAGTTAATTAGTTAAACAAATTTGATAGCAAATTATAATTTTTAAAAGTAAAAAACTTAAGGATAGACAATGTTTATTCAGATTTAAAACATATAAATATATAACTTAAGGTAATAAAAATATGATATTCATTTATATTATGAAATAACTTTATTATATTAACAGTGTATATAAAATTAAAAAAAATATCTTGCAGCGTAGGGCGGGTAAATACTTAGTCAACACACTTAATGTCTCTGCAGAAGATCACACATCAGCTTTTTAACCTTTCAAAAATTGACACATCAGTAATTTTAAGAAACTAATCAAATTAAAATATTAATACACATCATATTAAAAATTCATCAACTAACATTTGTTAATTTATTTTATTTTTCCAAATCTGTTTAAAACCCAAAGAAATCTACATTCTTTAAAAGCCCAAACAAATCAACAATTTTTTGCTTGGACCGCCATAACTCGGAGATTTTTACTTCTGTTGGATACCGAAAACAAATCAATAACTTTCCAACTATTCTCTGTATGAGCCTCACATGAGAGCTTTCCATCTCTCATGGTTTCAATTCATCTGCTGCTTCATCTCCTCTTTCGCTGCTCTGCCTCTTCTCCCAGTCATTCGCAAAAACCTCAATCTCCCAAGTGATTTTTCGAACCAACTTTGATTTGGTTGTTCGTATTCATATATGCTAGATTGATTCCCTTTTGATTGTCCTGATTGTCGAAGTTGGGCTTTTAAGTTGCGGAAAAATGCAATTTCTCGATTTTGGTAGAAAAACGTGATTTTCAGTTTGACGAGAAAATAAAAAAAAATTGTTTTGGTGGAAATATGCAATTTCTCGGTTATTGCAGGAAAATGAATCTTTTCAGTTTTGACAGGAAAATACGATTTCTCGATTTTTTGCAGGAAGATGAAATTTCTTAGTTTTGGTGAGAAAATGTGATTTCTTGGTTTTTGCTGAAAAATGTGATTTTTTGTTTTTTTTAGAAAACGCAATTTAACAATTCTAGCGGAAAAATGCAATTTTTCAATTTTCGTAGGAAAACATGATTTCTCGATTTGACAAGAAAACAAAATTTGTAAGTGGCCGGAAAAGATGATTTTTTTTTTTTGGCGTGATGATGTGATTTCTCAAATTTTGACTGGAAACAGTTTTAGCATAAAAATATGAATTTTTAGTTTTGGCGGAAAAACAGAATTCCTCGGTTTTTACAGAAAAACAGAATTCCTCGGTTTTTACAGAAAACTGCATTTTTCGGTTATGATAGGAAAACAAAATAGCTTGGTTTTGATGGAAAAATATGATTAACTTTTGATGGAAATGCAATTTCTCGGTGTTTTACGGAAAATGCGATTTCTCAGTTTTTGCAGAACTATGTGATTATATGATTTTTGCGAAAAATGCAATTTCTGGGTTTTGGTAGGAAAATATGATTTCTCAGTTTAACGGGAAAAATATTATCGATTTTGACGGGAATAGTCGATTTCTCGGTTTTGGCGGGATAATATGATTTTTTTATTTTTGATCGAAGAAAGCAATTTTTTGGTTTTGGTGGGAATATACTATTTCTGGGTTTTGGCGGGAAAATATAATTTTTTGTTATTCTGGCGAGAAAGTATGATTTTTCAGTTTTCGCGGGATAATCCATTTAACGGTTTTTGAGAAAGAATTCAATTTTTTAGTTTTGGTTGTTAGACCAGAAAAACGTAATTTTACGAGTTTGGAAAAAAAATTATTATTTTTTAGGTTTTGTTAGAAAACATGATTTTTTATTCTTTTGGTTTTGGAAAAAAATGTGATTTATTGAAAATTTAAGTTTTTTTGTTTTTTTTAAGTTTAAGAGTATTTTAGCCATTTATTATTTTGGATTAGAACATTTTCATCTACATAGTCCAATTTGGTTCATCTAGATAGCTATTTAAATTCTGTTTGTTTTTCCCTCTATATTGTTCATTTGAGTAAACATGATTTGTTTTTTTTTTTTTAAATCATCAAGAAGATTTATTTATATGTTTTTCGATTTTGTTACAAAATAAAAACAATTTTTTTTATTCAAATGAACAGTCTAGAGGGAGAAACAAACAGAATTCAAATAAAAAAATTTATGCTAACTAAAAAGTAAATATAATATTTTTTTCATTGTGAAAACTAACTTTTTTATTTTTAAAAATGTATAAATTTTAGAATTACATCATGCATATAAATATCTAATTGGACTTGAGTTACAACATAAAAATTATCTTATTGACTAGTGTTCATAGTTATTGGTAAAATATAACAAGAGATGTAATTTTTACCTTAGTGTAGTTTTATCTTATGTTAACTTAAAAAAATAAAGTTTTAGAAAACTCAAAATATCTGTTATTTTTTATTTTTCACCTTTTATTTATATTTATCATTCTTTTAAGTTGTCAGTTATAAAAATCACAAGAATATTTTTTTTTCTTCATCTGTAAATTTCATTAAACAACTTGAAGGATACATTTATGAAATATATAAACTTATGCTGGAGTAATAAAGGCAGAAAATACGACAACTAACACAGATCTAAAACTAAAACACAAAAAGATTTAGAAAAGTTTGACCCAACACTTAAAACACAACACAAACCAACCAACAAGTCTATCATATTTCAGAAGAGCATAAGAATTACTGAACAGGTCCCCGACCTCACCAACGATAATCAAATTTCTCCACAAAGCCTATCTTTCAATTCTTGATAATCTTATTCCAGTTAACCAGAATACCTTACTAATTTACTCACATATATGTTATCATTTATAAATCCTTACTATACGGTAAATGATTTACCCATTAGAAATTGACTTCCTTTTATAGATTTGAAGCAATTTAAACTTGCATATACAAAATCCACTTCATATTATTTGAGAAACAATATTATTGAAAATAGCTGATTTGTCAACACTACAACCAAAAAGTACTTTTAATTGATGACATGTAAATATGACATGCCAAACTTCCTAAAATAAATGAAATGTCTTGGTTGGTTGAATTAAAATTGAAGAAATTATAAAAGTAAAATATAAATACATTAGATTATATTAATAACACTAAAATTAACAAATTTAAATTAACAGAAAATAATGATTATTATAATTCAATTTTTATATATATTCATAATTTCATAAAATATAATTACAAATTTTTTAAACAATATATAAATATATATATATATATTGCAATTTCATATAAAAGCAAAAAGATAATACTAAATATCCAATAGAATAGTACAAATTCTATATTAATAATACTTAAAGTATGATATATTTTATTTTGAAAAGGTGTTAATTTACAAAATATAGTAATAACATCTAAACAAGTTTTAATTAAAAAATTATTAAATAATACAAATATAATCATGATAAAAATAATTTAAAGAATAAAATGTTAAAAATAATATAAAAATAATTAACTTTTTATTGAATTTTTTAAAAAAACGTAATTTAAAATAATTTTACTTTTCAAACCAATATTTACTAAATAAATAAAGTATATACTAATTATTATTTTATAATATTAATAGGACCATATATTTTTCTATAACTTTTATCATCTTTTATTATTGTTTTCTTAAATGTACATAACTTATATGTTACCATCTCATCATATCTCTTAACATATTTTAAATAAAAATAAAAATTTATGTCATATTCACACATATACATATAAATTTATTTTCATTGTATATGAAAAATTTGAAATCATAAATGAAATAAAAACTAATCGAACGAATGAATAAATTAAAATAAGATGAAAAAAATATGAACATGAAATAAAAGATAAAAGTATATAAAAATAAATCTCTTGCATTTTGTTTTACAAAGTCACTTAAAAACTTTTTAACACATAAGAGCCATATCTGGATTTTTTTATAAATATGATTACAAACATAAATATTAATTATGCATTAGTTGAAGTCACTTAAAAAGTTCGCATGTATTTTGTTAAACTTGATTACAGTCTAATTTTTATTTTAATTATTATACAATTTATTTTATTTTTTAATTTTTTTTATCTACTCTAAGTGTACTGAAGTGGTTGTATGTCCGCACATGCGGGCCAACCATCTATTCATTTTTAGGAATTAGTAGGAATAGTAAAAACTATTTCAGCTTAATTTACAATAAATAAAAAAAATATATATACTTAAAATATATTATATATGTATTTGCAAATTCATATTATGCAAGACGCAAAAAAAAACATATTGTAGATTGTGTAAGGAAAAATAAAACATATTATAGAAATATTCAAAAAATATTATAAGAGTTTATTTATTATTTAAAAAATAGCTTTTATATTTATGATAATATATTATTACAAACATTATAGAAATAAATAGTTTTAAAATACGTTGGTTTCAGAAAGAAGTTTGTCAAATATTAAAATAATATATATATAAACATAAAAATATTTGAAAAAACTAATCAATATTTAAATAAATATTATAATAAACTATGTATATCAAAAAATATTATACTCGCACATTTGTGCATGTCAACCACCTAGTTTAATATTATAATCTAATCAGGAGATTAAACCAAATTACATCCCATAACAGGTAACAAGACTATGAAATTTTAATTTTGTTTTAAATCGTAAAGGAATATACAGAAGTGAATCGAGGCTAACCATTTATTTGTAATTATCATTTCAAACAGAAGAAACAAACTTTCCTATAGTTAGAGAGAAGTACATAAGCACAGGTTTTTTGTATTTAGGTAGTGTATATTTTAAAAATAGAAAGCCTCACTATAAAATAAAAAAAAAGAAACTAATTTGTTATGAAATCCATTATGAAATCTAAAAATCTAATTTTCTTAAATCAGTATATTGAAAAAAAAAAAAAAAGAAGTTCTAAGTCCAAAAAATCTCAGGTAGAATAACCATTTCAACTCACAACTAAACATATGTAATATTAGTACAATTAGTCATTGACTATGAAAAATATTATCTATATAAACAAACATATCGAGGGGTAGAGAGCAAGTCATAAGACTCAACTTCTTCTCTAGGTATTTATCCTTTTTGATTCTCTTCCTGCTTAGTGCTTATCTGATAGTCCTCTGTTTTTTTCACCTGTTAACATATTAACAGTTTTCAGAAAGTCAATTTCTATTATCTAAATCTCTAAGACTTTTGTAACAACTCGAGAAACAGAGGACTTAAAAACATCGAAAAGAAAACATTTTTCTTAAAATCTTCAGTAGATATTCTCAATTACTCTGCTCCGTTCTATTTTCCCCAGATTTAATCAGTTTGTTCGTTCTCAGCGTTCGTAGAAATATAAATTGACTTCGTAATCATTTTTAATTATAGTTTTCTTTTTTCTATCTTTCCTTGTTCTTGAGTGTAACAAAACAGAGATTTTTTCAAAAATAACAGAGGATTTGTTTTTCTTTAATCTTCATTTGGTTGAAAATGGCGTCTTTAGAAATGGTTTCGACACAGATGTTCGAATGTAACAAGAAAGAAAAGGATCTCAAAGTTTTAGTAAGAGATCGATTCGACGCTTTTCCTGTTGATAATTCTGGAAGTAACCAAGATGGAAAGAGTAAAGATGTTCTTGAATGTTCTTCAAGATCCTCTGTTTCAGAAACAGAGGAATCTTTGCAGACACTTTCTTCCAACTCTTCTCCACTAGAGACCAATTCAAATCTGTTTTATAATCCGGGTCAACCCGAGAACCCGTCAAGAAACGAGATCATCATAGGAGCTTCTTATCTGGTTCAGATTTGGGAAGCTAGGTCGCAACATTCAATCTCGATTCAAAATCAATCCCTTATCGATAGCAGGACGAGTTCTGGACTTAGCCTCTCCGAGAATTCGAGTCCAGGTTCCTTTTTTGAATCTCCCGGTGAAGAAATAGACTGGTTTTCACAATCAGACAAGAGTTATGTTACAGAATCTGGCCAGAAAGAGAGAGAAGCAAGAATCAGTTTTCCTCCGTTGGTAAGGATAAGAGGAAAGCAAGCATTTGACGATTTCTCTATGATGATTCTGTCTGACCGCAAAAAGGATCTCAAGTGGCTTCTCAATTGCAACGCGGTTTCAAAGTTCTCATCTCGAGGTTTCGAGCGTCTTCAGGTACTACTTTTCTCTAATCCCAAACTTGTAATATAATACATTACACTTAAGTAGAGGTTTAGAGATAGTTTAACTTACTACTACTTTCTTTTTAATAGTATATGCTTAGGATCCGGAGTTTCGAAAGGTACATTGCGATTCAAGAAATACATTGGTTGAAATCAGCATCACATGCAAAACGGTCTTTCCGAGTGAAAAAGATGTTAACGGCCAATGAAACTGCAGAAACAATGAAGAAAAGTAACCAAAGGGAGACTCAGGAAACGGTTTATAAGCCGAGCATGGCCAAGAAAGCGGTCTTTAGTGAAGATGGTGACAGTAAGAAACCTGAAGTTGTGGGCAAAGCTACTGATAAAGGAGAAGGATCAGATATAGCCTTTGAAAAAGCTATTGTGAAGGAAAGTGTAGAAAAGAACAAGACTTCATTAAGTATCTTGGAGAAGGTGAGTCTTTGGGATTCTAAGGACACGAGAAACAAAGACAAGGCTGCAAGAAGAGTCATTGATGTGGAGGATGTAGAGAGAAACAAAGAAAGGGCAAAGAAAGAAGAAGAAGGCAAGTCCATGGAGATTGAGGAATTTAGAATCAATCCTCAAGAAAATGCATCAGAGATTAGTTTGGATGAAAGAAAGGAAGAAGAATCTGAGAGTCCCCTATCAAGAGAGAGTGGCAATGAGGAAGAATCTTCGCAAGATGATGAAGAAACATCGAAAGCCGAGAAGCAAGAAGAATCGGAAGCATTTAGTCTGATCCTTGAATCACCAATATTTATAAATGGTTGGGATGAAAGTGAAATGGAAGATGAAGACTACATTGGAGAGATTGAGTATTATGATTGGGTTAGCGATATATCTCGGCCACGGAGTTATTGGGAAGATCTCAGGAAGCAAAGGGAGCTTGAGGTTATTGAGTATTCAAAGAAAGATGATATTCGTAACATGATTAATACGTATGTTACAAGATTAGTTCCTTTTTCACATATTATTTTTAAATTTTAGATGATTTATGGATGTGGTTGCTTTTGCAGAAGGACGGTTTCTAGCTTCCTTGCTAGTGATTTTCGAGAAGATATCGATAGAATTTTGATCTCACAAGCGGAAAAAAGGTTACAAGTAGAAATGAAATCTGACGAAAAAGATAGCGAGGAGTGGATGGTTGACTCTTCAGCAAGGTACCAAGAGAAACTAGAAGAGAATGAAACAGAGGAGATAGATCTTGAGACTGTAACTCTGATCAATAGTTTCAGTCAATACCGTAAGGATCATGAGAACATCTCCTCCAATGTGAGTCTGTTTCTGTTTTTATAAGTCAGTAAGGTTACGTGTGGGTGAAGTAACATATTTTTTATGTTTCACACAGGAAATAGAGATGATATGTGATCTCAAGAAACAAATCAAACAGCTTCAAAGAGAACTGCTCGAACTAAAAAGCTTTGTCAAATCTTGCGTCAAATGCAAGAAATACGTGAAAGCAGAATAACTTTCTTGTGAGTAAAACATTAGAAACTATTCTTAATTCAGTTAAAAAGCTCATCAAGATTGCACCATTGATGATATGTGAATATTACTACGTCAGGTTCAGTTTCAGATTCTCTGAAAAGAAATAGTTCTGACTGCTTCGAAATGCCTGTAGACTCACTTGTGTATAGGTTCTCTATCTGCTTGTATAACCTAAAAAACGACTGTTCGGTCAAAACGCAAACACTGTAATAATATCATGTTTTTGTTTTGTAGGTGTGGGCATGAGCTTCAATGGAGTAGTAAGAAATGTCCGGATCTGTAATTCTGTATGGCTTCAACTGATCAGTTGTAGATGATGTGAGTGCATTTCTTGATGCTTAGGGCTCAAAAGAAGGAAAAAAAAAAAAAAGAAATATCGAACTTTATAACTAATAATATAATTGGTAAGTGTAATTTGGTAATGTGAAACAACCTGATTATATACGGCTAGTAAAGTTTTTGTTCTATTCTATAAACATTTCATGTGTGTATATAATAAGGAAGAGTGTTTGTAGTTTGTATATTATTATTACGTTTAGAGGGCTTCATTATTCGCTATATATATTTTAGGTTTATTTGTAATATGTGAATATGGTTTCTCTTAATTGATGAGATGTAATTATATTTAATGTGTTGGCCAAAATTGTTGCAGCAAAAAACATGAAAATGATATAGTAGTATTAAATAATTAAGGGACCCCTTTGTAATGACTAAATATATAAATTGGCTAGAGACAAAGTTTATAGATTGCCCAACATCGGTTGGACATATCTCTTGAAGAGTTTCTTTCATCCTACTTAATATATAAATAATATATATCTATATATATAAGAAACTAAAAATATATATATACATGGCTTTTCTTAATATAATCCTGTGAAAAAGAACGAAAAAAAAATTAAACCGTATAGTATTATGGTGCCATCCCACTATCCCAGCTACATTTCCGGAAAACACACAAATTGATTCCGATCTAAGTGCCAATATGTTGTTTCGACAAACAGTAACAATATATTGTACAAGTAATCTTAAAATCTATTGAAAAAAACCATTAAAAAAAAGTGATTCTTAGACTCATTCATAAACCAGACAATCCACATGAAATGAAAAGTGTTCTTCACATCTTTCTAGAATACATATAATAGATTATAATGTACAACATGCATGACCAAATGTATCATTATCAATATATTGCAGAAAATACCATGATATTATTATGTGGCAACAAAGGTTGTTTGGGCGGAGAAGGGAAAATGAGAAACTATCTAAAGCTCATTTAAAAGAAAATGAAAAGTTTTTTACAAAAAACGATATTTTGTTAAATGTTAAATCAAGTCACAAAAATGCCTTTTATATGGTTTATTCATTAACACATGGGATGTCTCCTCCTCGTGATTCCATTTAAAGAATCACATCCCATCTTTTCATTTTCTTCTTTTTTGCTTAACCTTTTTGTAATATTATCTTCTCATAAAACATCAATTGATCATAATTAAAGGAGATTACGGTCTATTAAGAAGGATAAAAAGAAGAAGAGGAAAGAGTTGACGTTTGAAGAGACTTTGGTTGTTTGGTTGTCATCCTACAAAGCTTCAGCTTAAATGATGACCTTTTTGGCTTTTTCTATACCACTTACTTTCTTAATTATTCAATGATCTATACATTCATGTGATGTGTTTCGCTAATTTTTTTGATCCAACAAAACCTTTTTATACTATATAAGAAGAGAATTCACAGACTTATCTTTAGAATTTGTGAAATAACCGGATAGAATATTTGCGTATACATTGTTTGTATGCAATATATACTCAAATAAATAGTGTGTTTGATAATTGTATGAATCACGAACAATTATTTGTTTTGCGTTTATCCTTAATAGCTTTTAATATATAATTTTGAAGGACCATATATGTAGATAAAGGCTTAAATGAAGCTTTAGCTTAGCTAAAAGATGAGATTCCACTAAAAGCTGGAAGCTGGTCCATTGTTACACAGCTTGAGTCTTGGGACCAACTTCATATTTATATTCTTATGCCATCCTTTTTCTTCTCTCATTTATTTATATTTATATCATTTTCGTGTTATACTAGTTTCTTATTCTAGATATTATTTGTTATAAGGGATTTGCAGCTAAATGACAATCGCAAAATAACACTTTTTTAAAGAAACGTTAGTTTGTGTCATTTTCTATGTAGTTGGTTAACGAGAATGATTCTTTCTATGTGATTTGGATCTTAACTTTATAAATATTTATAAGGATATATTATTGTATCATATTCAGTGGATTGAAAAAGTTTAAAATCATTGTTAGAGAACAATGAACTGTAAATAGAGTGAGAATTGATAGGAATTGGAGTTGGAGGTGTAATAATAAATAAGAAAAAGAAAAGATTTGATTGTGAAGCAAAATTGTCAAGCTGGATCTTAAATGAAAGGTCTCTCTCAAAATTAAAATAACTAAGCACTTGCAATACTAATAGTAAAGGCAAAAGTGAGAGAAGGACCTTTCCTTCTTCCGCTGAAAAATTGCTAATTGCAGCTTAATAGCAGAATACCTAGGTAATAAATTAGTAAAATTAATAGAATAGATAAAATTAAAATTGAAAAAAACTTTAAACACTTAAAACTAATATATTAGATAAATAGATTTTTTCTAAATTAATTATAAATTTAAAGTATTTAAGATATATTGAAAAGTAGCATATTAATTTTCATATTTTATCATTAAATACTTATTATTCTGAATAGTATAAATTTAGTAAAATCATACTATTTAAAAAAATTATGAGTTATATTATATACATAATGAAAAGCATAAGTTCTTGAAAGACCAATAACAAAAGTTTTGTTTTTAAACTTTCAAAATCATTGACAAACACCGAAATTTGTTTAGGGTAGTTTAAGAAACTTTTTAATATTATGAAGACTTCCTAAGTTTTTTTCTCTTAACTAAACTTTGACCGTGTTTAGTAGTTTAAGAATGCTTCTTAAATTTAGAAAGTTTTTTAGAACATTTCTAAGCACATTCGAAAAACAATTTGTAGGAACTTATTGAAAAAGAAAAGCAAAAAAGTTTGATATCCTTGAGAATGCCCCTAAATGCGTTCACAAATATAAAATAATATCAAGCAATTAGACACAAAATACATGAAAATATATATAATATGAAATAAGGGTAAAAAAAAAAAAGAGAAGAATGTGGTGTCCTTGTCCTACAATGTGACCCAAGAGTAGCACTTCCCTAAGCCATAGGCTATTCTGGATTTGCATTACACATCGCACCCCACCATGTTCCTAAAGAAACCCACTTCTCTTTCACTCCAAACCCTAATTAATTAAAACCCTAATTAACACCCACAAACGTCATTAAACACAATCCAAGACTTTTGTCTCAAACCTCAAAAACCTTAATTAGTTTGCATATAATAAATATATTACAGCCCACTAGCAATTATTAATTTGATACCTACCCCACAATTCATCACCCTTTTTCTCACATATAAAAACCCTTTTAGAGATCTCACATTTGTTTCATCCCACTATCATCATCCATAAGGAACATAAAGCCACAGAAAAGAAAAAATATGTGTTCCTCAAAATCAAAGAACATGAGCCAAGAAGCTATTTCCCAAATCAACGGGCGTCCGGTTCTTCAACCGAAATCCAACCAAGTTCCAACATTAGACCGACGCAACTCACTCAAGAAATCTCCTCCTAAGCCTTTGGTCCATCCCATTTCATCAAAGATACCCTCACCTAGAACATTTTCTCTAAACTCTCCTCCTTTGTCTCCCAAATCAAAATTCTTAAGAAAAGCGGTCAGTTCTGAGAAGCCTAAACCGGTGGCTAAACCGGTGAAATTATCAGAGAACACTGATGGTGTCTGCAGAGAGGTTATGTCCATGGTGGCTGTTCAGAAGCAGCCTGGAAGTATAGCTGCTGCAAGAAGAGAAGAGGTTGCAATGAAACAAGAAGAAAGAAAGAAAAAAATCTCTCACTACGGTAGGATCAAATCCACAAAATCGAACGAAAAAAACATAAATGTTGAGCATGAGAAGAAGAAGAGATGTAGTTTCATCACTACAAATTCAGGTGTGTAAAAGTTACTTGTTCAGCAAGAAAACCTTTTTTTTCCTTTTCCATTTCAAGTCAATATTGATTAATTTTATCTAAAATCTTAATTTGTTTTGACAGATCCAATCTATGTGGCTTACCATGATAAAGAATGGGGAGTTCCTGTTCATGATGACACGTAAACAAAATATTTCTTCCTTTAAATATATTAAAACCCATTTCTGAAGAATTGAAACTAATTAAGATTAGTGTTGAAATTTTTTCTCAGGCTACTGTTTGAGCTTCTGGTGTTAACCGGAGCTCAGGTCGGATCCGACTGGACTTCGGTTTTGAAGAGAAGAAACACTTTTAGGTAAGAACTTTCAAGTTACCTACAAAATGAAAATTGATATGTTCAAAAAAAAAATGAAAATTGATTTTTTGGTATAATTTAATTGCTACTATTTTGCTTTTCTCGTGAAAATTCGTCTAAATACGTAACCTTTGGTTTCACAGAGAGGCTTTCTCTGGTTTTGAAGCAGAGTTGGTCGCAGACTTCAACGAAAAGAAGATACAGTCAATAGTTAATGATTATGGCATTGGCCTAAGCCAAGTCCTTGCAATTGTTGACAACTCTAAGCAAATTCTCAAGGTATATATTAGAGTCCAAGGAGTCAGTTTATTGTTTGGTCTTATCGTTTAAGTAGAAATTTGAAACCATTTAAAAACATTTTTAATTTGTTTCGGTTTTGGTTTGATTTTCAGTTTAGTATCGATTTTGCGGTAGTTGAAAATAATAAGTACAGACATAAACAAAAAAATATATTGTATAATACTGTTCTATCTGATTTCATTACATAAATTTAATAAACAAATAAATTTTTAAGAAAAAAATGGCTTATTTGGTTCGGTTATTTCAAAAACGGTTTTGGTATTTTGGATTTTCAAATAATGAAAATAAACGGTGTGTAAACAAATTTTCAATTTGGTTTGGATTTAAATATTTCGATTTGGCTTGGTTGTAATTTATATGCCTATAATTGTTAAACATTTCAGATCATCTTATTATTGATAAAAGTATATATATTTCTTTATTTTGTGGTTCCAGGTGAAAAGAGATTCCGGGTCATTCAGCAAATACATTTGGGGATTTATAAATCACAAACCGGTCACCACAAAATACACATCTTGTCAAAAGATTCCGGTTAAGACATCAAAAGCGGAGACCATAAGCAAAGACATGGTTCGTCGTGGGTTTAGATTCGTTGGTCCGACCGTTATATATTCGTTAATGCAAGCTGCCGGTTTAACCAATGACCACTTGATCACTTGTCCGAGACATCTCGAGTGTACGGCCATGGCGGCTCTGTAGGCAAAAATATCACTGTTGTTGTCACATTGGTTTTAGTTATAAATTATTACTGTAGTACTTTATCTACCATGTGATATATAGATTTGAGGTCCTAACTTTAGGTAATGATTTTTTTGTACAAAAGCCTTTTATGTGTGTGTGTGTGTGTGAGATTCTGTTTTAAATTTAATATATCTATAAATGTGTGTATTTATTTATTTTATGTTGTTTGATTTGTTTTTTTGAGGTTAATAGTTTGTGGGATATGGGGAATAATGTAAAGAAGAGAGACAGAGCATGTGCAAAAGTTTATAAGCAATGCCATGTGTTAGATTATCAATATTTTACACTTTATTCTCTTTATTTGTTGATAACAATTTTTCTTTAGCTTTTTGACTTGGGAGAAAATATGAAAAAGAAGCTTTGTTAGACCCTATCTGGTATAAAATTGATGCAATTCTTACTATGTCTTATCATGAAATTCGACTGAGGAACTTATACATGAGTTTCATTATTTTACTTATAAAATTGTTAATAAAAACGCAAAAATGTAGGATGTTAAGAGTTTGGGAATCGAAGGAATATTATAGTTTTAGTTTCCCATTTCTTTGTTGATAAAATTGTTTACGCATATAAACAATGTGTTAAAAGGACAAAGAACTATACATTATTTATTTGCATAAACAATTCTGCTCTGCATTCTGCTGATACTGATTTTCAAAATTTTGATAGTGTTGAAATGATAAAAACTCTTAAAAGAAATCTGAAATGTGAATTCTGTACTCAGAAACTGTAGTGTCCACCAAACTTCAAAAACAGTTTTCTTCGTTGACAAAATTTTCCGATAAAATCGTCGTTCATGTGATGAAGCATGCTTTTGATTTTCAATTCTTATGTATTTTACTTTATGTTTAGTGATACATAAAACTCCATTTTTAAGGAAAATAGAGTTTAAAATCTTTATGGTATACGAAGGTTAGCCTATACGAAAATAATCGTGTGAAATATTAATCGGACACGAACCCATCTACTATACAAAATATTTTCATTACATGTTCTTTGCTTTATTGGCTTTTGTCTTTGTGTTATTTGTTAATTTCCCAAAAACAATTGTAAGGTAATTTTGATATTGGAAAAAAAAAACAAAAGATCAGTGGTTTATTGTCTTCCACTAGATATTTACCCGCGCTATGCTGCAGAATATTATTCTAAATTTTATATATTTTAAAAATAAAAAGTTATTTCTTACAGTATAAATAAATATTATATATATTTTTTGTTTAGCATAAGTTTTGGATTTAGGCCCTATTTATTTTTCCATCTATATGGTTCATTTGAATAAAAATGAGAATTTTGTTTGTTTTATAACAAAATCAAAAAAATATTTAGATAAATTATCTAGATGATTTTTCAAGATTTAGATAAATTTATGAGAATTATCTGAATGAACCAAATTAGACCATCTTGATAAAGATGTTTCAGTTCAAAATGACAAATGACTAAAATACTATTAATTTTAAAAATAATAAAAAAACTAAAATCATATTTTTTGAAAAAACCACAAATTATGCTTTTCTAACGAAATCTGAAAAATTGTATTTTTTTTTCTAAACTGGTAAAATCATATTTTCTGGTAAAATCGAGAAATGGCATTTATCAACCAAAATTAAAAAAACATATTTTACTATTATAAGTTTACTTATGATCATAAATTTCTCTACTCGCAGGTTATATTCATATTTTTAATTATGAAACTTTTAATGTATATTTTTCTTACACTAATTAAAATAATTATTTTAACATTAGTATTTCTTTAGCATTATAAAAATATTTAGTAAAAACCACAAATAAAACAACAATTCACATTAGCTTACATATTTACTATAGCTTAAGTTTATATATTGACCAGATCGCTACCTTAGCTCTAGAAATTAAAAAAGCTACAAAATATATCGAAAGAAATTAAATAACCATGTCAAATGTTTGCAGCTCGTATTTAATTGACCTCAGATCTTATAACTTTATTTTTCTTCAGTTTTTCTTCTCTCACATATGTTAGAAACAAGTCTAGCAACTACGAAAATGGCTTCACAATGTCGCCATTCCTCTCATTCTCCAAATCATATCAGCGTTTCTTTCATCTATTGAAACATAGTCACTGGTCGAGATTTAGGCGGTTGACAACTTTTTCGATCAGATCTCTGATACCTTACAACATAATATATTTGCTTTCAAAAACTTAATACACTTTCAAATATTCATTCATAAATATACAATAACTTGATTAAAAAAATACTCATTCTTTTGATAATTAATTAAAATTTGGTGCACTCTCTCTTTGTCAAAGTATAAAAAATTATTTAATTTCAATATATAGAAAACATAATTTTCTAGATTTTTTACTTTTTCTCATATATTTGCTTTAAACATGTAAACATTAACATTATCATACCTAAACATTAGTCACACTTATATGTATATATCAAACCTTCAAACTTCACACTATATTTAGATATAGTTTTACTAATAAGCCATAGGACATATATGATACAAGAGTAACACCCAAATATAAAGGCCCAAAACATTAAAGTATTAAACGCAAGCCTAAATACAACTTAAACTACATTTGGTGTTACTGTAATTGGATATCTCATCCGTCTTTAGCATCAGAGACAAAGCTTTACCACTTTAAAGTTTCAACTTTCAGAAAATTCATCATCACAATGCGATTGCAGATCTTTTTCAAACTCTTTCGAGAACCACCATCCTGAATAGATACATGGTTAAAAAATTCTTCTTCCCCACAAAGTTGCCACAAAGTTAAAATCTTAGAAGTAAAATCGTAAGTTTGATGAGATAACAATATTAATTGATTCATTAGAATTTTAGGTTTGTTTACCAATAAATGTTATCAATTAGTTAGGTTAATTAGATAATTTCTAGAATAATTGAGGAAGATGGACGAAGAAGATGATGATAGGAAAAATGAGAAAGAAGATGTCGATAATATACAATGTGCTTCAGTTTGTTCTTTTTAAAAAAATTTTAAAAAAAAATAAAAATTATAAAACAACACGTAGTACATTATTAAAAATGGCGTGTTTTAATTTTTGTCATCGATATAATGAGGGTTAATTACTTAATTTTGCAGTTATCCCAAAATAATAATATCGAGCTTCAATTTCTACGCAATGTCCATATTGGGTCTTATTAATGAACAACTAGGTATTTATCCGCGCTATGCTGCGGAATATTTTTCTAGATTTTGTATAATTGTATTATGATAAAATTATTTTTATAATGTAAATGAGTATTATATTTATTTTTTGTTAGCTTAAGTTATGTATTAAAATGTTTTAAATCTGAATAAACATTATATATCTTTAATTTTTTTTTTTCAAAATTATAATCTACTATCAAATTTGTTTAGCTAACTATCTATAAATATATATGTAAGAATAAAATAATACATTTTTAAGTACCTTCATATTAATGGCAAATGTAAAATATTTTCTCTACTAAATTGCCACTTGATCCTCTTTTGAAATTATATAAAGTAAATTGCCATTTTAAAAATATATTAATTAATACGATTATTTTGAATTATAAGATTTATTTATTTATCAAATATTTTTTATAAACATATGTTTCTAAAAATACCAAACTATAGTCAATAACATTCATATCAAAACAATTGCTATTGCTTTAGAACTAAATAGAAAATTATGTTTGAACTGTTGAAATATCAGTTAATTTAGTTGAATTTAAATAATTCAATTTTGGTTACTGTAAACATATTGTAACTTGAAAATTTAGCACATAGAAATTTTATATTTTTACAAAAACTTAGAAATTAAATTTTCCGACAAAATAAAAAAAATTTCATTTTTTCATGAAACTGAGAAATCGCATATTCCCACCAAAAAAAAAAAACCATTTCTCCTCAAAGTTGAAATTTCATTTTCTCACCAAAACAAAGAAATTGCATTTCCCCGCAAAAACAAAAAAAAAACACATTTTCCCGCGAGAACCTATGTTTTTTTCGCCAAAACAGAGAAATCAAGTTTTTTCACCAAAACCAAAAAATTTCATCTTCCTGCAAAAATCAAAAAATCATATTTTCCCGTCAAAACCGAAAAAACTATTTTTCTGCAAAAACTACGAAATCGTCTATTCTCGTCAAAACAAAAAAAAATTATGTCAAACCAAAAATTACGCCTTCTTACCAAAACCGATAAAGTACAATTTTCCGCGAAAACCAAAAATTGCATTATCTCTTGAGAAATTGTGTTTTCCACGAAAACTAAGAAATCGCATTTTCCCGTGAAAACCAAAAAATCACATTATATGTCAAAACTGAAAATTTGTATTTCCCATCAAAACCGAGAAATTGATTGATTATTCATACCAAAATCTAGAAATTTTGTTTTCCCATCAAATCGAAAAATTGTATTTTCCGCCAAAATCATCAAATTACAATTTCCCGCGAAAACTAATAAATCATATTTTTCCGCAAAAATTAAGAAATCACATTATCCATCAAAAGCCAAAAATTTGTATTTTCTATCAAAACTGAGAAATCGTATTTTTTGGTCAGAATTGAAAAGTTGCATTTCCCTCGCATTTTCAAAATCAAAATTCACATTTTTCTGCCAAACCCAAGAATTCGTTTTTTTCCGTCATAACTGAGAAATTATGTTTTTCTATCAAAACTGAAAATCACATGTTCCTACAAAAACCATGAAATTCTCTATTCCCGCCAAAACCCAAGAAAATTTGTTCTCTGTAACCACCGAAAATGCGAATCTCTAAGCTGTGGTGGTCTGAGCTTCTCCTCATTTGCTTTCGACTTCTATTTTTTAAAAAAACTTTGGGCTTTTTAATGGGTCAGTAAAATAGTAAACTAATTTTATTAGTGTGTTAATGATATGTATTATTGTTATGATTTTATTGGTTTAAATTTTTGCTGATGTGTGAGCTTTCTATAATATAACGCTTTTTGCGTTGTTGTTATGGAAGCATAGTTGATGATGAGTCTACACTTTCTTTAATCCTATAAGTCTCTATCAAGCAAACACATAGTTAGAAATTTTAATTTTTTTGCTGTTATTTATTATTTGAGTTTTGGTTTGACAAAAATATAAAAATAAAGATTTAATGTTTTTATTTGTTGTTATTTATTATTTAGATTTTGGGATGGTAAAATATAAAATAATTTTTTTTTGCTGTTATTTATTATTTGGGCTTGTGTTTGGCAAAAAATAAAATAAAGATTAACAAAAAAAAAATATTTGGGCTTTTAAAGTTAAAAATAATAAAAGTTAGTAAATGATGTGTATTAATAAAATGTTTTGATTAGTTGTTAATTTTGCTGATGTGTCAGTTTTTGGTAACTTGAAATAGCTGAGTTGTCAAGCTATGAAGAGACTTTAGTGTTATTGTTGTGCTGATTTTGATGATAAAAAGAAAAAAAAATTTCTATGTGTTAAAATATTGAGATGAAGTGTATTAATGAAATGTTTTTATTAGTTTAATATTTTGCTGATGTGTGAGCTTCTAATAACACAAAAAGCTGAGTTGTTAACACATGTAGAGACTTATGTGTTATTGTTGTATTGATTGGTTTAAG